AGATCTACCATGAACAGAGATAATCACTGACTTCCTTTCATAGCAGCACTAATGAAAAGACCTATGAGCATGTTTCTTTTCCCATTAAAAGTTTGTTTTTCCTATTAAGTAAAAGGTTAAAGAACGTTCTTTCTGTGATGAATGCATAATACCTGAACTGCCCATACAGTAGCCACTGAATCACATATGACTGCTCCTGGGCATTTCGAATGCTTGGCAAGTGCAAACAAAGAACTGAATTTCAAATACTATTTAAATTTTAAAAATTTTAATTTAAGTAGTCCCTGTGACTAGTGGCTAGTCTATTAAGCAGTTCATTTTAAATAACCTAGTATTTGCAAAGATGGCTGCTAAAATTATAATAGTGAAATGAGAGGTAAAGTAGGGTAATAGCAAAGAAGCCTTTGTCATTAATTTTACTGTGCTTTCCAACTTGTATTAAGTAACAAGTATTAAAATTTAATATTCTATATTTATTAATTAAAGTGCAAAGGCCAGTGTCTATTATTCTGTTTTAAAATTAAAATAATTTTTAAGTTATGGAAGTCATGCTAGAGTGTGTGTCTAATAAAATGTTGTCTAATTGTATTTAAACAATTATAAATAACAACTTTTGCCACATTTTAGCACCTCGTTTTTAAACTAACCATAACTGTTTGTAAATCATCAAAATAGTGTTATACAATAAGAATTTCTTGTAATTGATTTAACTTGCATTGCAGTTTTCTCCTATATAAACAAACTTTGGAAAAGTGAAATTTCAGGATTCAGTTGCTAAAAAGATAAACTGACAAGAATGGGATTTGGAGTACCTGTGGTATAAATCACAATTAGTCTGGCCAGGCAATACAACCACAGCCAGCATTCTACAAAAGAACTTTTACATTTTCTTACTTTCTATGCAATTCTTCCCAAATAATGTAGTTTGTTTTGATTTTTTTGTTTCTTAGCAATCAAAAGTATACTGATTATAAATCTGTGAAGTCCGAGTTAAAACTCAGTCCAATGTGTTACACTAATTCCTCTAAAACTTAAATTAATATGTGGCTTACTTTCTGTCTTAAAATTACCTACCCAACTCCCTCTTATCTTTTGATCCACACTGTGATTGCTCAACTGTAGCACATCTTGTTCGGGTACGCATATACTGTTTTTTTCCTGTTTCAAGAAAGTTCAAAAGAATTTAATGGTCAAGAAAGAAATAAAAAATACTCTATCAGATTTCAAAATGGGCAAAGCCTTACACAGTGTGTCTATGGCAATTTGTCTTGACACAAAACTTCAGCCTCACTAGAGATTTGAGCACATCTTCAGCATGGCAACAGCATGCATTGTGTACTCAGTCCATTTTTATTAGTATTTTCACTGGGAATCTCCCAAGCAACTATATGCCCTGGAAGTTTTCTAAATATCAAATATTGATTTGGACCTTTTAGAGTATTAAAATATGGGAAAACCAAAACACCAACTTCACTACTTCTGAACTCATTACTATAGAAGTTGCAAGATTTTTTTGAAGCATTTCCATTTTCTCTTCAAAAGTGAAAATGAAAAACGTGCTAAAGCATATCATTGTTCTATTAACTCAACTATAATTACTTCTTAAATATTATATGAATTCGCAAAACTATAGACATTCTTTAAATCAAGTTCTCTCATTTCTAGACCCTATAATGCATCAGTGTAAACAAAAGTGAAAGTATCCCCACAAGCCTCAAATATGACGTCTAGTGGATAATAGTTTTAACTTTCAATTTTTCTAAACACTATAAACTACAGTTAACTCACCCTAAAAAATATATATCAGTTATAAAGTTATCAGTTATATACTGTATCATTTCGACAAAAAAGCACATGTAGTTCTCATGTAATAAAAATCTTATTTCAAAATAATGATCTTATGTCAGCACTGCAACCAAATTGTGATATATTAAAATAGTTCTTGCTCTAACCTTGGCTGTAAGGAATTTAATACATTTAAAATTAAAATAAATTTTTAAGTAAGATAAATATGATCAACTTTCAAATAATAATGCATAACACAAAAGTTTTTAAATGCAAAAAAGGGCCATATTTAAAATAAGTAAAGTAATATATGTATGATCAACTTTCAAGTACAAATGTATTTTGTATAAAATCAAAAAAATACACCAAAAAAATCTATTTGTACAATTCCTTGAGAATTTACTCCTACTGATCATTGTATCACTCCATAGTCCCTCACGTATATAACACTGTATTATAAAACGCCCCCCCCCCAAAAAAAGACCCACACTGCCAATACACTCGATTCTGACACAGTAACCCCATGGGACAGATAGAACTGTCTCTGTGGGTTTCTGAGACTGTAACACTTTCTGGGAGTAGAAAGTCTCATCTTTCCCCTGCAGAGTGGCTGGTGGCTTCAAACTGCTGACCTTGTAGTTAGCAACCCAACACAGAAGCACTATGCCACCAAGGCACCTACACGACATTATCACATTACTAAACTTAAATCCTGAAAGGAGATTGTTTCCCAAAAGCAATTTTACTTCGTAATATTTTACAAACATAATACAACTAGGTAAAATGTGAAAGTAAGATTTTTACCTCCTCAGCTATTTTGTCCTAATTTAATTCTGCCAGTCTTGTTAAGACAATTGCTACATTAAACTTCTCATTTGTTTCTCAATAATCTCAAATCAATTTCATGGACACACTTTCTCAATTAGACAGTGTGGGTATTCCAACTAGAAGGATACAATCTTTTACAAATAAGAACCCGCAACACCAAATCAGCTGACATGAAGTCAGAAACTCTGTTTCCATATTTTTAAGTGAAAAAATAGAACTACTTAGTACATATTTTTCAAGAGCTACATCTACATATGCACTTTTTTTTTTAATTATCAGCAAATGGGAGACAAGTCTTCTGAAACCAGGTTACCTTCTCCCTCATGCTTTTCTTCTTCTCCTCTTATAACATTGTCACCATGCCTTTATTTATTGGGCTTAACAACATTTATTGACTTCTTGCACAGCCAATAAATATCTTCAAGAAAACCATATAATCTTTATTGTCACACACACCTCTTACCACAGAGTGAACCATCTATATTAAGAGTTCACACATTCTAAAACTTTTTTATTCTTTGAACTAGGACAAGGAGGAAGTTCAATTTCCTGTTTCCAGTTATTCTTTTTTATTTCTTCTTTTATCTACCTACCTAGTTTCTATGCCTACCACAGATATCAAAACTTTGAAAAGTGTATTTCAAATATTAATTTTTTTCACTCTTCATATGACCTCTTTTTTCCAACATATTTGTTAACCTCTTTCTCTTCCATTGGTTTTGAAGCAACTTTTCGACAATCAAACTATTATATATTATCAAAACTATTCAACAGTTTTGAGTACCTACGTTGTGCTAAGCACTGCTTTGGTATGCTTATAGGAATGTTAATAGCACCCTGCTTATCAAGCTTCTAGTTTGTTAAGAAGACAGGTGCAAGCAAATAATTGCAAAGTACCAGGTATGTGTTAATACAAAATTATGTTCTGGCTGCTGTTTAAGCACTAGTTAAAGCTCACACACTCTGTAAAACAGTAAAAGAAATTAGACTAGAAGGGAAGAGCCAGAGGGAATTTCAGATAGAAGGAGCAGCACTGATAAACATGGAGAAAAATGAAATAGCACTTGGATCATATAAGAACATCAAGGCATTTAAGAAGGAAGGGAAAAACAGTGAAAAGTGAAGTTAGAAAAGTCGCTTTTTCCCTTCCTTCTTATAGGCCACATTATAGTTCATCTTGAACTCAGATGTAATCAACCGGGCCTATCTTCAATACATAAAATGTCCCTCATATTAACGACCTGTGTAAAAAAGGTGTAATTCAATTTTGGATGACACAAGATTATTTACAAAGTAAAATTATTAAAACCATTCTAACAAATGAAAAGTAAAATAGTTTATCAACAGATAAAACTAAGTGGTATTTAGTGTCCATCAATAGTTGCAAATAGCTGTGTGAATGGGCTCCTCTATTTCTGGTGCCCTAACTTTGAGAAGGTCTAGCAACAAAATCTGAAGCTCTCATCAAATATACTTTTATTTTTTTAATTAAAAGATCATTTTATTGAGGACTCTTAGAGCTCTTATAACAATCCATACATGAATCGTATCAAGCAGATTTGTATATATGTTGCCATCATTATTTTCTAAACATTCACTTTCTATTGAACCCTTAGTGTCAGATCAAATATGCTTTCGCTACCAAACCTCTTCAGTCAATAATGCGTAAGAACAAATACACATTTTTATATCGAGCGCAGTTCTGCTTTGATACCCACAGGGTCACCATACAACAGAAATGACCCAACAGAATCTGATATTGGTACTAACATTAACTTTTTTATGTAGCACAGTTATTAAACACTTAGATAAGGACTTAAATGTATTCTGAAAAATTATAGGTGCTATAAACACTAGGTGTACGTGTCATGGAGAAAAATTAGGGGGTTAATAGAAAATTTTCATATACTTTCTCCAAATTCATTTTATTGGTAACAAGAGAAACTTGTTAAGTGATAAACCTTTATCTAAAGGTTTCCAACATTTACTTATTATTTTTTGTGAGAGGTAAGAAAAAGAAAGTACTTCCCTTTTAAAATAGTACAAAGGTTTTACTTCTACTTAAAACCCATAAAAAATGTATGTACCCATTGAAATTCTAGCAATTCGCTTTCTTTTATAAATGAGACTTTTAACAAGTTCTTATTTCAAAGCAATGAGTACTACATGACTTAGGCTATGATAAAAATATGTAACTTAAATACTTCTAATCTGAAAAAAATATATAATGTAGCTGATAAAAATAAATGCTCCTTTTAATTACACTAAAACTTTTTTTTTTAAAGATCAACTAAGATCCTTCACCTCGGCTATATAAAACTAACATATCCCTAAAGAAATATATATATTATGTTCTCTTAAAATATTGAGGGAAAAGGAAAACTTACTTGCATCTGCTTGGCTTCCCACACTGATGTAGCGATCATTTCCAGGAAGTGCTGTTTGGTAGTAAGTTGTCTCCTCTTGCTGAGGGGTCTTGGCATTCTTTGAAGTAAGAAAAGCCACTGCTAATTCCAAGTTTCCATTACTATCCTTGAAAAATCAAGACATGAACATCAAATACTTTGGAATAACTCTGTATTGTTCTCACTTGACCTCTGCAATTTCCTCCAAAACAAATAATACTTAAAAGCAAAAATCACTTTTAAAAAGTATTTATTTATAATTAAAATTTAATAGTGTGGGGTAAAAATTTAATAATGTGCTCATCTTAATTCAAACATTAAATCAATAGTGATGCCAATGAATTGAACCTACTTATCCAAAGGCAAAAGCAATTCTATATAACTAATTTGCTACTTTTCCATCGTTTTCATGTCTGCTCAAAATAAAAAAAGAAAATGAAGGCACACTTTTAAATAAATGAATAAACTAAAAAACGTTTTCAGGAAATAACCAAGAGTACAAAGTTACTATGTAAAATAGTACTTCTGCAAACAAGGTCAAAAGAAACTCCCACTGTTATGGGGTTAAACACATATACAGTGGCAACATTAATAAGTAAAATATCAAGAACTGTAGGAAGAAAACAGCAAAACTGTACTAAAGCTTGAGAGTCAATCAAGAGACAGCTCACTTTCAAGAAAGCTCAGTACTATCAAGATGGCAAATTTACCTAAGTTAAACATATAAATTTTACATAGTTCCCACCAACCACAGTATTTCTTGAAAAATTATTCTAAAGTGTGTATAGAAGACAGCTGATGCTAGAAAAATCAATAGTTGCAGTAACAGCAAAATTAATAAGACTTCTAATTGAAACATCACAGAAGAGCCAAGTACTACTAATGAAGTTACACTTATAACAGAGATAAAACATGTAAGGTATACGGACCTAAGAAATTCCAAATACACAAACAGGAAGCTACAGATTTTGAACAAGAATGAAATGGCATAGTTTACATTATAAAAGGATAACTCTGGCTATCCCCTGAAATAGACAATGGGAGAGAAAGGGAAGAAGCAAAGAATAGAGATAATGAATGTGAGGTGTGATACAAGACGAATGAAGGATGACTTCACTATTGCCACGTGTCTAACTCTTAAGTTTGAACAGCAGTATTACTTTATATTATCTTAGCTATCACAATCAGATTAATAAATGACTACTAAAATATGAATGTACACATTCTATAGGTAGATAAGTACATTCATGTTAAAATAATTTATAACAATAGCTAATACTTATTGAGAGTGTGATGATAGAAGATGGCTAATACTGAAATAACCAAATTACTGAAAAGGAATTCCCTGTAGAGGTCATAGTAATATGTTAATTGAAACTACAAAGAAAATCAAATAATAATAATGAAAACTATATTTTCTACAGAGAGCTATAAAGTCTGGAGGGTTCTGGGGAGCACCCTGGTGCTATAGGAGTTAGAAGTTGGGCTGCAATCTGCATGGGCACCAGTTTGAAACCACCAGCTGCTCTGTGGGACAGAAACTGTGCTTTCTACTCTATAAACAGTTACCATCTTGGAAACCCACGAGGGGTCGCTATGAGTCAGCACGGACTCGATGGCAGTGAGTTAGGTTTGGAGGATTAGCCTATGTGCTTCTCAAATGATATCATAAGCTAATAAACTGAATACAAGAATTCACGAAACAGAAGGTTATTTCCTATGGAAGGTTAGGAAAAAAAGTAATGAAAGTCCTAAAATCAGGATTTGACATGTGTGTAGCTAAGCAAAAGTAGACTCCATGTCAGTCTATAAGGGCGCTTCAAAAAATTCATGGAAAACTGAATTAAAGGGTAAGGGGGTTTTTCCACAAACTTTTTGAAGTTCCTCAGTATGAATAGTCAATACATTATTAGCACATTACAGATGTATGCTAGGTAAAATCTAGGATTAAAACATAATGGCATCTATACAGCTAAGAGTCTAACTGAAGCTAAAGGAAAACCCAGTAAATAAAATTAGGTTCATATTACTACCTACAAAGAAATGTGGACCAAGATTGATTTGCGCTACATTTCCACCACCCCGCCCCAAAATAAATGAGTATTCAAAATTTGCCCCAGAAAGTAATTGACTACAATATTTCTTGATATAAAATATGGCAATGAGACTTTCTGAAAATAGAAATGCAGTAACTGAGTCACGATCATTTATTAGAATAAATAACAAAAAAATAAAACTAGCTTCCATCTAATTCATTACATTTATTTAGGGTGCTGATTCAGAAAACTGTATTGGCTAGACCTTATCAGCTCTGGGTTTTCTTAGGTCAGTGATTCAAACCCACCAGTCACTGCAGCCTTTGAAAGATTGAAAGATTGTATGCCCAAAGGTAGAGCTTTCCTCTAGCCCATTGGATCACTGTGAATACAAGTCAAACAGATGCTAGATTTGTTTTCTTTTTCTTTCTGGTATGGGAAGCAATATACAGAGACTACAAGTTGGAAACTGCAAAGCCAGAACACAGCTTCAGAAGACTGGAAAACAGAGAAAATTGAAAAGACATATGTGTGAGGTCAACTTTGAAAATGTAAAAGACTTCATAGCATTTTTCATAAATATTTTGAAGATCTAAATTTTTATTCTTCATGTTATTCTTTAGGGAGCAGAAAATCTCATCTTTCTTTCGCAGGATGAATGCTGGGCTCAAATAGCTGACCTTGTGGTTAGTAGTAATAACCAACTATTCTATCAGGGCTCCTTATTTATTTAATATACAGTAATCTTCTTGCTGGTCCCTTTTTAAGATAATAGAGTGGACCATATGGCTGATCCCACTATGAGACACGACGTCCCTTGCTGACCCATTGCGCTATGGGGGACAACACTGGATACTCCGTGTTGTCGGGATTGACCTGGTCTGACCCAGCAACATTGAGGCAAAACACTAAAGGCGTGCAGCAGAGCAACATGGGAAACAGAGCAGAGAGCTCCCAAGGGAGTACAAAGGACAGACTCTGGGGCCAGAGCCTGGCACCCCATCGATCCTGACTGAAGGACAAGCCTAGAGATCAAAAATCAGACCTTGATCTATTTACAAAATTTTCTTACTTTTTAAATATTTCTTTTTCTTTTTTTTAAATTAATTTATTATTTCCTGGGTCATTGGTTTCTTTTTTGTTATCATTGTTGTGTTCTCTTTTGTCACTTTGTCTTGCTATGCCTTGTTTTTTGGTGCATATTATTATCTCTGTAGATCTATCTAGATAAGACAGGCTGTATGAACAGTCTGGACGCGAAAACAACGGAACCAATAGTTCCAAGGAGACATGGGAGAGGGGGAGACGGGGGGAAAGGAGGTGGTGTTGACCAACTCAGGGACAAGAGAGCAAAAAGTGCTCCAAAATTAGTGGCAAGGAGGGTGTGAGAGGCCTGGTAGGGATTCAGCAATGGCAATGTAACCGAGAGAAATTACTGAAACCCCAATGAAGGCTGAGCACGATAGTGGGATAAAAGGAAAGTAAAAGGAAATAGAGGAAAGAACTAGGAGCAAAGGAGTATTTATAGAGATCTCAATACAGGTATGTATATATGTAAATATATTTATATAGGATGGTGGGGAAATAGATCTACGTGCATATATCTATAGGTTTAGTATTAAGACAGCAAATGGACATTGGGCCTCCACTCAAGTACTTACTCAATGCAAGAACACTTTGTTCTACTAAATTGACATTCCATGATGCACATCTTCCCAACACGATTGCTGAAGACAAATGTGTGCATACGCAAATGTGGTGAAGAAAGCTGATGGAGCCTGGCAATCAAAAGATAGAGCATCTGGGGTCTTAAAGGCTTGCAGGTAAAACAAGAGGTTATCTAGCTCAGAAGCAACAAAGCCCAAATGGAAGAAGCACACCAGCCTGTGTGACCACGAGGTGTAGAAGGGACCAGGTATCAGACATCAAATAACAAAAAATCTTATCAGTGGGTGCCCACCTTCCTGATATAATCACTGAAGACAAATGTGTGCATAAGCAAATATGGTGAAGAAAGCTGATGGTGCCCGGCTGTAGCATCTGTGGTCATAAAGGCCTGAAGATAAACAAGCACCCATCTAGCTAAGAAGCAAGAAAGCCCACATTTCGGAAGAAGCACACCAGCCTGTGTGAACACGAGGGGTCGAAGGGATCAGGTATCAGGCATCAAAGAACAAAAACTCACATATCATTGTAAATGAGGGGGAGTGCAGGGTGGAGACCCAAAGCCCATCTGTAGGCAACTGGACACCCCCTTACAGAAGGGGCACGGGGAGGAGACGAGCCAGCCAAGGTGCAGGATAGCAACGATGAAACATACAACTTTCCACATGATCCCAATTCTACCTTACAAATCTGGCTAGACCAGATAATGTACTTTGGTACAGATAGGAACTGGAAACACAGGGAATCCAGCACAGATGATCCCTTCAGGACCAGTGGTGAGAATGGTGATACTGGGAGAAGGGAGCAGGGAGGGAGGGGGTAAAGTGAGGAGCTGATATCAAAGGCTCAAGTAGAAAGCAAATGTTTTGAGAATGATGATGGCAACACATGTACAAATGTGCTTGACACAATGGATGCATGAATGAATTGTGATAAGAATTGTATGAGTCCCTAATAAAATGATTTCAAAAAAATATAACAAATTGGAACAGCCTGCTATATAGTTCCTAATAAAGGTGAAGTGTTATTTTCTGAAAATTCCCAGTTTATGTAGTGTGCACTGTTCAAATATATCTCTGAATCAAAGGACAACCATGTGAAAGTGTAACGACTCAAATATTTAGTATAACATGAGCTATTCTAATAAAGCCAGTGTGTACTTCTTCTGTGTCAGGTTAACTAACACGACATTAGATATTCTAATTTTTTTATGGGTGAGAAGAGTGAAGAGTAGTATACAGCATATATTGTGTGTCTCAAATACTAAACCTGATAGGGGGAAGGTGTTCCCATTTGTAGAATCAGGTGATCAAACATACCCAGAAACAAGTCTAACATCTGAGGCACCAACATGTGTGTTTGCTCGTGTTATACAAATTGAGGAGGCCCACTTTTGCTTTGTCTCTAACTACTTAAGTGGCTTAATACACACCTTAATGCTTTACACAGTTATTATTTATATTATTTAACAATCAGTATTATTTCAACATTTTCTTGGTGAGCAATAAGAAAAAGAAGCACTAATTGAAAAAGACAATTAAGGTGTGACTCTGGGATTAGAACGCTTGGTTTCAATCCCAATCTTCTCCACATATAAGCTATGGTGAACAAAGTTGTAATTTTAACTTCTCTGTTTTCCCATCTTTAAAAAGAGGGCAGAGCTGGTATTCTGCCTCTTGTGGCTGGATCAGGATTTGCATCTGTCCCATTTCCAGATACATATGAAATAACAAAGAGGTATTAAATTATTCTGAATTTGAAACAACATAAAAAAGAGAGCAGAAATAAAGTGTATCTTACAGGATTATTATGAAGTTAGGACACAAAAATTATACAGAATGAGTGCTTAATATGTGCTAGCTATTATCATAATTATGAGTGTGATTCTATCACGTAAAAGATAAGCTGGATATCAGAAGAGACATTGAAATATGCTCATGAACATACAGAAGAGGTAAAGCAACACAAAGTGATAAAACAGCTGAACAGAATTTCAAAACGCAGCTTGAGAAGACAAAGTGTTACAATGAAGAGTACAAATACCTGGAGCTAGAAGGTAAAAAGGGAAGAACACATTCAGCAATATTTCAAGCTGAAATGTTGAGGAACTCTATAAGCAATATATTGAATGGTGCTAGAAGCACCCAACCCAGTCACTGTAAAAAAAATTTTGTCAATGCTCAACTTGTTAGGGAGGGAGCATATGATCAAAAACCAGTGGTACTGAAGGAAGAAGTCCAAGCTGCACTGAAGACAGTAGTCAAAAAGAAGGAAACGAATTGGATACCACTGTTCCGACAAGCTGATGTAGCACAGGAAGCACTCACTCATCTGTGCGAAGAAATCTAGAGGACAGCTACCTTGTCAATTGAAAGGAAATCATATTTCTGACTACTCAAAAAAAAAAGAGACCCAACAGAATGAGTATATAACACAAAACAATGCCATTAATGAGATGTGAGTAAAATTTTGCTGAAGATAATCCAAAAGCAGTTGAAGCAGGACATCCACAGTTGTCAGATATTCAAGCCGAATGCAAAAGAGGACATGAAATGAGAATAGCATTACTGAAGTCAGATGGATCTAGGCTGAAAGCAAAAATACCAGGGCAATATTTACTTGTGTTTAATTGACTATGCAATGGCATTCTGTGTAGAATATAGCCATTATAATATTGCATAAAATGAGAATCGCAAAACATTTCTTTGTGCTTATTCAAAAACTATATATAGACCGAGGGGCAGTCCTTTGACCAGAACAAGAGGACACCAATGGCTTAAAATCAGAAAAGCAGTGTGCCAGGGTTTAATCCCTTCACTATATATATTCAATCTGAATCCTGAGAAAATAACCCCAAATTGTGGACTACAGGGAAAAGAGTGTAGCATGGAGCCTAGAAAAGGCTCATTAAGAACCAGTGATATTCAGCTGACACAACCTTGCTTGCTGAAAGTCAAGAGCACTTGAAGCACTAACTGATAAATATCAGAGAATAGGGCCTTCAATAAGAATTATACCTCAATGAAAAGCAAAAAAAAAATCCTCACAACTGGACCAATAATCAATATCACACTAAGTGAAAAAAAGACTAAAGTTGTCAAGGATTTCATTTTGCTTGGACCCACAATCAATGCCCATGGAAGCAAGAGTCAAGGAATGAAATAACATATTGCACTGGACAGTTCTGCTTCACACGACGTTCTTTAAAGCACAAAGATGTCACTTTGAGGAACCAGATGTGACGCAATCAATGGTATTTTCAATTGCCTCATGTGCATTAGAAAGCTACACAAAAAAAAATAAGAAAGATTTGGAAGGAACTGATGTGTATTCACTATTGCGTTGTTAAAGAATATTTACAGCGTGATGGCCGGCCAGAACAACAAATTTATCCCTCCCCTTGGAGGGGAGGATGATGAGACTTCACATCACATACCTGTAATGTGTTCTCAAGGGGAACCAGTTCCTGGAGAAGAATATCATACTGGGCAAAAGTAGAGGGTGAGGGAAGAAGAAGAACCTCAATGCAATAAACTGATAGTCACTCCAGCAATGATCATGAACAACAGTAATTACGAGGATGGGGCAAGAACAGGCAGTGGGTGTTTCTGTTGTGCATAGGGTCACCATGAGTCAAAACCAATTCAATAGTACCAAACAACAACAACAAAAAAGATAAATTATGTCTAAAAACAAATTAAATACCAATGGCTCAGAACCAGGAATTTACCTGGTTAACTTTAGTGCAAGAAGCAAGTACCGAAGAACTGATGCCACAAGTATGCTTGTTAATAACAAAACTGTTTTAAAACAAACAAAAAAATGAATGCTCTATCTTAACCTTATTTGTATACTACCTTAAATTTGCAGTAGCAATATAAAAATAAACTTATGAAAAAGTTCAACTTCTTAAACATACTTCATTGACTTGATCTTTGACAATGTATACATCCATGTGACTTAGCTGGGTGCCTTGTTGTGGACATGAGGGTGCACCGTAAAATATAACCAATGGGAGGTATTTTATTTATTGTTTAAACTAACAATTTGATGTTTAAAATATTTAAGATAAAATTAGTTGAATGGAATCTAATTCTATTTCTCTTATTGAGAGACATTCAATTCCTAATCCCATTTTTTACAAGAAAATGTACATATAGAGAGATTATTGGCCACATGAAAATATTCTGGAACATTACATTGTTGACAACTAACATGCTCAAAATAAATAAGGCTCTTACTTTACCAAAAGTCAAAGTTATATCTCTACTGTCACATGACATAAATAGAAAACTGGATTTTCAAACAGTAGTAGGTAAACAACACACTGTCATAAAACAAAAGTCCTACCTTCAAAGCTTGCTGCAGTATCTGAGCATCATTAATCCCAGTAATTTCTCTCAGTTGATTCAAAAATGTCTGCTGGTGCTAGAAAAAGACAAAAGAAAATCATTATACTCTGAAAATACAAGAGGGGAAAAATATCTTTGATTAAAGCATACACGCACAGGAGACTCAGAATTCATCATAAATCATATAATCCAAAACCGAAGGAGGGAATAGTATCAGAGCCTAAATTGGAAGACTCCGGTTTGCAGAAGGCTATGGATGATGGTAGAAGCCCAGGATACACAACCTGTGAGATCTACACAGGAAATAAATTTCATTTAGAAAATGTTCATAGAAAATGGAGTTAAAGGATGATGGAATTACGAGCAACTTTTTGAAGTTCCTTTGTAGTCTTGTTTTGTTTTGTTTTCCTTACTAACCGAGTTAGATGTATTTTTCAGGGAAGTATTACACCTAGCTTAAAAAAAAAAGTTTATTTTTCCAGATTCCTTTGCCACTATGCATATGTAGGTGACATGATTCTGTACACTGAAGGTTTAAGGAGAAGTCATTAATGAAGACATAAGATTCATTTGGTAGCAACCTTTCTCTAAAAATGAAACCGCATAGTGTATTTCATAAATACTGACAGGGCATATCATTTCCTAAGTGAATTTTCATTTCTGTAAGAACCTCAAAGAGATCTCAGATAACCAAGAATAACCAACAAAATATGTAATAAAGCACATAACATGGTCACAAAAAATAAGTGAAATTTCAGAATAGTGGAACAAAAAAAAATAAAATGCCAATGTATACAACTGAAAACTGAGAAAATATAGTATTCTTTTTCTATCAATTTTTTTTTCTAATTTCATTTTAAAAACTGTCAAAACTAGGTATGGAAGCATGACTAAGTTATAAACATTTACCATTAAAAATTTAAGCTGAGTTGTACAACTTTCCTTGATGTGATTGAACTATTGAATTGCATATGTGAATTATAAGCCAATAAAACTGTTAGGAAAAAATTAAAGTTGTATAAAAAAAGTTATAGGAATTCACTCCAATTAAATAAATTATTTTATTAAAAGCAAAAGACAAGAGTTTTTACAAACTTGCTTCTAACCTCATCACAACCACCACTCCAAACCCCATTTTACAGAAACAATGTTATTTTGCTCTACAACGAATCATTCCATTGTGAATAAAGAAGACTGTTAACTATCCTTCATGGAAAAGAAACTTTTGTAAAAATGTCTATGAGACTATTCTTGATAATGTTGCAGGAATGAAAACAAGGTAAACATGCCCTACTAAAGAAGTGGTTCTCACACTTTCATGTGCACAAAAAGACCTGAGGAGTTCATTAACGAAATTCTGGCATCCCATCCCCCAGAGATGACAATTCCAGAAGACTGGGTCAGGACCCAAGCATCTGCATTTATAATAACGGCCTCAAATGTTCTGATGTAGATGAATAGAAGCAAAGTCTTAGGTAAGGAAACAGAGATATGTATATTTTTAAACCATGATTATACATGTTTACCATAGGAGCCCTGCTGGCACGGGGACTACTAACCACAAAGTCAGTCATTCGAAACCACCAGTCACTCCAGGGGAGAAAAAAAAACGAGGCTTCCTACTCTCATAGAGTTACAGTCTCAGAAACCCACAGAGGCAGTTAGTTCTGCCCTGTCCTACAGGGTCACTGTGAGTCAGGAATGACTCAATGACAATGACTTTTACATGTTTACAAACATTACACAAACTAAGTAGTATGCAAGATAGCATACAGGCACACCAACACAAGATAAAATATGGGCACAGTTTCCAAGCCGAGATAGGACAACAGAGCCTGAGATAGACTTCAATTCTGTCATCCAGGTATCTACTCCTTCTTACCATGTATCAGTTCTCATTAGGTACGATGCCTGTTCCTGCTCCATTAATAAGCTAAGCCAGGTGACTTGCTTCAACCATTAGCACATTAGTAGATAGTTATGCAGGAGAATATAAAAAGTGCTTAATGCTTGGGGTGTGGCTTCTTGAAGTTCGGCAACTGTTTTAAGAAAAAGACTTTGGAGGTACACACTTGCCAGAAAAAGTAGGTACCTGTGGAGAAGAGTTACCAGCCATTCCAACAGAGAAAGATGAAGCTCTCTGCTCCAGTAAAGATTTAAAGCCTTGTAAACTGCTGCACAAAGTCGCCAAGTTGGAATTGACTCAATGGCAAGGCTTAATGCTGCTTATTTTCAATTTTGTTTAAGGTGAAGGCTGCAAAATTACTCAGTATAGCTTCTCAGAGATGCAGAAAGTGGATCACTGACTTGAGGGAAGGGGAAATACATTTTATTATGCTATTGCTTATACGCTACATTCTTTTTAAGTGCCTCATTATCTAATTTCATTTTATACACACATCAGATATCTTAATCATCAAAAAGCTATTCTCATTTCATAGCTAATAAAGATTTCAGGAGATCATTAATTGCATAAAAATTAATGAAATCAAGTTTTTCCTATTCTCTTACCCATATTCCTTCCCTAATTTCTCTCTGTGACTTCTGACCTTGGAGATTAATGATGCAATGGAAATGTAAAATTTTTCCTAAAAAACCACTATTATGTTAAACCAAAAAAAAAAAAAAACCCATACAGGTATGAAAAGCTGAAGCAGTGATGCTTGCAAAATAAAAATCGTTATTCATGTCAGGAGTAAGGGACTCACATGTCAGTCTTTGCTCCTCTTCCCTAACCTCCAAACAGAAATGAAAACTTGGTTTAGTGCAAAAGAAAGTGAATGGTTTACAGCATGGGGCAGGAAATCACCAGCTAGAAGGACCTCTATAAATGGTTAGTGTTTTATTAATGGGGGGAAAAAATGACAGAGAACCATAAAGCATTCTAATACTTCCAAGTCACATCCAGTAAAGTATTGCTAGGCAAGGCACTTAGTATTAAGCATTTCAAAGTTACCTATCCATAAACAGATTAATTCACAAGACTGCATGCAAGGTATGGACTTTTATATGTATGTGTTTATATATCTATATATATGTGCAAATACTCTGCATCTGCCTGATAACATTCAACTGTCTTAGTTTGTGTTTATCTCATAACACATGGAACAGAGGGAATTGATTGATACATCATTTCAAGTACATACTATGTCTTGAAATCCCCAAACTTGCCTTTAACCCTTTAAGTAAACAACACAAAATTTTAATTTCCTGCATCTGGGTTTTGTGTTTTTGTTTTTCTAACCTATAATTTTATGAGAACTCTTGACTTTTTGTTTCTGTGTTAATCTGGGTAGACTGGAGAAACAAATTCATAAACATGCATATGTATATGGGTTTTATATAAAGGGTAATTGTACATTAAGAAAACATCCCAACACAGTCCAGATCAAGTTCACAAGTCCAATATTAGCCCATATGTCTGATACCAATCTATAAAGTCCTCTTCAGACTCATGAAACACATGCACTGATGCCAAATGCAGAACAATCACAAGCCAGTGAGTAGAAAGTCTTTGGATCCAGTGGTGCTGTAAGCATCTCAACGCTGGCAGGGGTCTCTGTGGCTTCTCGGGCTTCAGAGGTCTGGTTGCATTCATGTGGCTTGTCTGGCTCAGGGGCACTAGGGTAGTTCCATGTGTCTTGTCAGCTGCAATGTCTCTCAGGGAAGTCAGTAGAGAGAGGGAGGTGTCTCCCAGGGAGTGAACGGAAAGAGATAGTGTCTCCTGCCTCCAAGAAGGAATACAGAATTTCCCAGATTTCTCAGAAGGCCATGCTCACACAGAGCTCTCATTGGCTATCTCAGATTGACAGGCTAGACTCCACCCCTACACCTCCACCCTTAATCTTCAAATTGACACCAGATTAGGTGACTACCACAGTTTCCTCCAAATATAACAATTTATTCACTTTCTGAGGAAATGTCCCATAGTATTAATGCAATATTAATGCTTATCATGGCTTAACAGGTCTTTGCATGCCATATCTATTGCTACCTCTATCCTAAGTTTGCACTACTCACCCCCCCACCCCCC